GCGGTCGTAGGCCATCACGGAGAGGAAGAAGACAGTCCCACCGCCCAGGAGGTGGAAGAAGAAGATCTGGACCATGCAGCCCTGGTAGGAGATGGTCTTGGTCTCATGAAAGAAGTCCATCAACATCTTGGGGGAGGTGACTGTGGAATAGCTGAGGTCTATGACAGCCAGGTTTCGGAGTAGAAAATACATAGGCATGTCCAGCCGGGGGTCAAATGTCACAGTGACCATGATAAGGAGGTTCCCCACCACAGTGGTGATGTAGACAAACAGGAACACCACGAACAGGAGTTTTTGGAGTTCTTGAGTCTGTGAGAACCCTAACAGAATAAATTCTGACACCCATGTGATGTTCTGGGGTTCCATGGGGCCCTCCCCTTGTGCCTAGAGAGAGATGACACCAAGTAAAACATTGTGAGTTCAGTCAGGATTTTTGTTTGCTTGCTTGCTTGCTTGCTTTGGAGGATCAAGATTGGTTGGTCAAAGTGATTTCAAGGTATGGCTTGACAGAGCTTCCTGGGAAGATAAAGACTGCCGAATTCCTGCAGGCTTAGCTCCCTGGCCACATCTGGTCATAGCCATCGATAGGTAAGCTCCCTGCTCCCCTGGACCACAGTGTATTTGTGCGACTGTTTATTTCTAACTCTTTTTTATACAGGCATATGGCCTTGTGAAATCTAGCTTTCACAAATCTGCTTGAATCTATTAGTAAATAAACATGTCATTGCATACCTGGGACCGCAGGCCCAGCCACCTATGAGCATAAATCATGAGAGGGTACAGAGACTAAGGACCTTAGGTAAACAGAGGCTTCATGGTAGGAATTTGGGGGCGGGGTATGCAGAGAGGTGTGTGTGCTAAGAAAGTGTGATGCACTGCACACCGACACACACACACACGTGGAAGAAGAGGCAAGCAGATGATGTTGGATAATGAGTGGGGATGATTCACACTGCTCATATTTTCCTACTTCTGTGGTTCTCTAATGGCGTGTATGCTTCTGCTGCTGAGTAACTTAAGCTCAGGACAAAGTAATTTCCCCGGAAACTCTCATACTATGTATTCAAATCTTATGCAAATACTCTGTAGACACATCATGCTAGGCAATCTTTGTGACATTTTCAAATTTAAGTATGGTGAGTGAAGAGATGACTCAGCAGTTCAAAGCACTTCCTGCTCATTCAAAGGACCCAAGTTTAGCTTCCAGTCCCCATGTGGAGTGGCTCACGACTTCCTGTAGGGTCAGGAGATTTGATGCTCTTCTCTGGCCTCTTTAGGCCCTGCATTCACACATTTACACACAGATATAATTACAAGTAAGATTCCAGTATGATGAGTAGGGACTGGTAGGAAATACAAGACAGAGTTCTTCATAAGATTATCTACATCAATGGGCGGTGGTGGTGTGCACCTTTAGTCCCAGCACTCAGGAGGCAGAGCTGGACAGATCTCTGAGTTCAGCTTGGTCTATAGAGAAAGTTCCAGGACAGCCAGGGCTACACAGAGAACTCCTGTCTCAAATAAACAAACAAATTATCTACATCTATGAGGCATAACAATCCCCTAAATATTATCATGTTAATCATCATGTGACATCTTTATTTATCTTCAAGTATTTGTGTAAAAGAGATGTTCCAGGAAGACGCAGTCTGTTTACCCTGTGACTTCCCTATCCCCTGAAAGGGGGGGGGCGGATCTCTGTGAGTTCAAGGCTAATGAGTTCCAAGACAGCCAGAGTCACATAACCATGAGTCCCTGTCTTGAATAAGAGGAGGAAGAGAGAGGGGGAGAGGGAGGGGGAGGGAGGGAAGGAGGGAGAGAGAGATGGAGGGAGCAAAGAAGAAGGAAGGGTCCCTGACAACTGGAAGGCCCATGCTCATCAGTGGGAAGAAAGTGATGTGGTGAGATAGGATTAGAAAGCAGCATGCCTATGAGACAGGCAGGAGCTGGGCAGAAGCTTCCAGAGGCATTGTGGGAGCTGCCCCAGCAGAGGGCAGAACACTTTATCTTTAGCTTCTCCCTATGGTGTAACCCTCCTGCTTGATGGCAGACTCGGAAAATGACAGTACAGCCCTTTATTTATTTGTTTGTTTTTTGTCTTTGTGGCCTTTGCTCCTGTTCTGATTACAGCCACCCCATGCTCTTCGTGCCCTTATCAGTCAGAGTTGCAGGCTGATGTCTCCTTGGAGGAATCTTAGTCTTGACCTTGCCTTAAAATGCTCTGTGAAAGGGGAGAAGAGGCCAAGCCTGGTGGTATGAGCCTGTAGCTCCAGCTACCCAGGAGACTCAGTCAGGAGGATTGCAAGTTCAAGACCAGCCTGGGTATCAAGTAAACTAAAGTCCATCCTGAACAACTTGGTGGAACTCTGCTTTAAATGAGAGAATAAGATTCTGGGAATAGCTCAGTAGCTGGATGCCTACCTCGCAGGCACAGGGACCTTGTCTAGTACCTGACTCCACCCCAAGAAAAGGGGAGCTGAGTACAAGAAATAAGATTCACAAACTGCTAGTAATTGCCAGGAAGGACAATGAGTGAACATTAAAGTTCACTTCTCTCTCTACTTTGTGGATTAAAACAATAAAATGAGGCTGGGCAGTGGTGGTGAAAACCTTTAATCCCAGAACTCGGGAGGCAGAGGCAGGTGGATCTCTGAGAGTTTACAGCCAGCCTGGTCTACTGAGTAAGTTCCAGGACAGCCAGGGCTACACAGAGAAACCCTATTTCAAAAAAAAAAAAAAAACCAAAATGATGATGATGATGATGATGATGAAAAGGAGAAGGGCTGGTGAAAGGCTCAGTGGGCAATGAACCTGTAGCAAACCTGAGGACCTAAGATTGACCCCAGAAACCTCTGTGAAGTTAGAAGGAGAGAACTGACTCCACAAAGATGTCTTCTGACCATGTGTGCCATGACAGGCATGCTCCCCACACAGACACATCACACACATACGTACACTCACACACCACACACACATACACACACCACACTACACACACACCACACACACACGCATACACACACATCACACAGAGAGAAAAGTCAAATTTGAACAAATAAGATGGATGCACTAGAGAAACACCTCAGGGGCTCAGCCGGGTGTGCAGCAAGCACAAGGCCCAGGACTTGGAGCCCCAGGACCCAGAGTGACTGACAAGGACAGCGATGTCACCCACTGGCTGCCACACATTTGCACACCACACGCACATTTTTAGTAAATATTGAAGACCTCAGAGGTATTCTAATTTGATATTTGTCTTTGTAGTATTTGGAATTTTTACTTTAAATTAACTATGTATAAATCATGAGAAAAACAGAAACTTGAAAATAAAGTAGCACTTAAGGGAAGAGTGTCTCCTAGACAAGGCCGTGGGCAGCTATGACGCGGTACTCCTAAATATATAGGATTTACAATGTACCAGAGCCACGAAACCCACAGGTGACAATGCATACCACCATTCATCCCCCCACTCCCAAGCACCAAGCAACACTACCAGCAACTTCCCTGCTCGTGTAAATGAATTCTCATTTGTTCCTGAGAACTAATTATGATGACCAGAGACGTGACAGACACCGAGTCCCGATGCCACCAAAGGTCTAAAATATTGAGAGATTTAACTTTCGTCTCTTAAAAAATTAAACTTATATCTTTTAAAAATTCAACTCTTGTCCTTTAAAAAAAATAGTCAGGGCTCCTTATTATCTATAGAAAAACACTTAAGATTTACCTATAATTCACCAACCACCCAAGAAATAATAATTAAAATATAAGAAAAAATTCATTTCTTGGATTATCACATTGGCAGGGTAAGTTTTAAGGATTGGACTCCTCAACACTGTGAGAGAGACTTGAGGGAGGCAGAAATTACTGTGCCTAACTGTTCTGAAGACAACCTGAAATATATACTAAATCCTTTTTTATATGCTTGCCTAAGTATTTGTTAGAACAATAAAATCTTAGTCTTAGAATGTATATTTAAGTATATTCCACACAGAATTCTTATAATAGCAAGAAACCAGAAGCAATGTAAACAAGCAAGTGCAACATACTATCTAAACAAAACGTGACATCTCCACGTGATAACATTCTAACTGCAATAAGTACACATTCTAAAATGACATTTGGGGGCTGGAGAGATGGATGGCTCAGTGGTTAAGAGCACTGACTGTTCATCCAGAGGACCCAGGTTCAATTCCAGGCACCCACATGGCAGCTCACAACTGTCTGTATCTCCAAGATCTGACACCCTCATGCGGACATATGTGCAGGTAAAACACCAAAGCACATAAAATAAAAATAAATAAAATAAAATGACATTTGATTATATTGGATTTTATTTATTTTATGTCTATAATTTTAAAGAGATAATTACAAAACATTTTTAGCATTTGGAGTTGTTTTTGAGACAGGCTCTCACTCTGAAGCTCTGGCCTGAGTATAAATCAGGCTAGCCTCAAACTTGGGGAGATCTCCCTGCCTGCTGAGTGCTGGGTTTGCAAGCAGTGGCCCCCACACCTGGCTGACATTTTGCTACAACGTTAGAAAGGCAGGGAAAAGGATGAAAATAAAAGATCAAATGCTAACGGTGGAAGTAGCGTTTACATCTGTGAAGGAACTGACTGCATAGATGTACATTTTTCTCCTTCACAATTTTTCTCTTTCCTCATAGTTTAGAAATGGTCACAAGATTTCCACTCAGCAAAAGAAATATTGCAATAAGAAAGCAAAGCCTGCCAGGTGAAGTTCAACGCCATCCCTGTCTACTGAGCCCTGTCCTGGTAAAGATGGTCTGAGTGCAGGGACAGAAACCACAGAACACCAACAGGAAAGGAGGAGAAGAATGGGAGGACGAGGAGGGGAGGAAAGGGGGAAGAAAGGGGGAAAGATGTGTGTGTGTGTGTGTGTGTGTGTGTGTGTGTGTGTGTGTAAGAGAACCAACCTCCCCCCCAAACTCTATAAAAAGAAAATGGAAAACATCAAGTCCCCATTGTACAACAATCCCCCCACTTCTTGTGACAGGCTGTCATTTGCACTCCCCAAAGTCACCTTAATGGTTGCAGCCAGCCAGCAACCAGGTGTCATTTCTCCTAGAAGCTGGGCTCCAGAAGACCCTACCTGCCCGGTCAATCTGTGGTCACTCAGTCCTTTACTTCACACCCACCTTCCTCTCTGGCTGTCTGGTCTCCCAGTCCCTCCCCCAGCCAGGCTTCTTCCCCCTCCACTCTGCACATCTTGTCATCAAAGCAGAGGAGCCCTTCCTTGGAATCACTGGCCGGTCATTGCTCCTACCTGACTCACTGCTCCAGGCTCCCAGGAGGGTTTCTGCCTCCAAACTATGCTCCATTTTAATCAACACTGTGATGTAT